TGCAACAAGGAGGAAAACTGTGACTGTCTCCACATTGCTTTCACAACGAACATGTCAGCTATTGCATTCTTCTGCCCAAAATTCCACACATTTCTGAATACTGATGAATGGAAAAAAGTTCAACTGACTATGACTGATGTCTGGAAACTCAAACACGCTGCCAAAGGAATTTGAATTCCCCGTTAACTAGCAGAACGGTGAATGGGACTTAACGGATTTAGACTGCAAGTAGCAATTCGACAAAGTCACACTTTCCTGTGAAATTAAATTCGCTTATGAATATTACCTCAACATTCATTTGCCTCATTTCAAGCAGATAATAGATTCTTCTTTCGGCAAGAGATCAGTACGAGAATTCCACCGACCTTTCTAGACCATGACTTAACCATCCTCGACAATGAGAGTCTGACTTTCTCCTCATCTGATGTTGCATTTGAGGATTCAACTCATGATCAGCAGTTTCGAATGGTGGTGCCACCCCTCACTTTGTTCATCGAAACACGCGGAACTACGACTTCCTCATCCTTGTTAAAGAAGCAATAAATCTAATCCAAATCAAAATATCCCAGGTTAAAAACGTTAGGTACCTTTGTATGATAGTCAAATGCAGAGTTAATAGGCTCTAATCACATAGACTCGTTGATAACGTGAAGAAGGCTAAGTTCTGTATTTGTTTTAACCCTTTTTGATGCGCGCTGGCGATTTATAATGTTTGTATAATGCAAGTTATTACTTATGCTTTTTCATTCTATTTTGGCTCTGTGACAGGGGGTGACTTTGCAATCCTGCAGCGATGCATTAGGACAGTCGCGAGATTTTAAGGATTGTAAATAGTGTCTCGTGGCTAAGACCATTGTGCAGATTGTGTGTAACAGTTTGGTCTTCTTCGCCTAACGGATATTGCAAGATGCCACCCATTCATTTCACATAGATTTTGTAGCCTGCTACGCGGCGGGTTCTGCTATACGAGAAATTTCATCATTCTGAAAGCAATAACTAAGCTGCAGGAAAAATCAGGGGTACTACACTTAATTCGTACCCTCATGAACATCCTGCCTTAAAGTGTCGTCTATTGCTTTCTAGGAATTTACAGAGATCACACAGTAATTTTCTTGATGTTGCATACTGTATACATTTGGGTGCTGATCGCATAAATAAGTATCTTCCTGTATAGCTTTAGTAGTACTGAGTACTGTTGGCCTACATTCGAAGTGGCGCCGGACAGAGTTCTTCTTCTTTTCGACGTTAACCGATAGATCGCCCGATAGACAAGGGCCATGCAACTCAAGAGCAGCACTGGTATATCCTTAACAGACACCTCAGCCGATGCTTTGGCTTAAGGAGCATGCTTCTACCTAGTGCATTGTTTCCTATAGGTCGACTACTACTGCTGAATTGAAAAGACAATCAAGAATGCTCTGATTACAACCATTCACCGTTAGTCTTTCACCTAGAGTCTTGAAGTAATGAATAACGATATGTAAATTCAGTGCCCATCTGTGCGAAATTATTTTCATTTATTATTATGACGAGGTATGTTATAAATGAAACTCTTATCATCGAAAACGAAGGAGAGAAGAATCGGTGGGTAGGGCACATAGCTCGGCTACTGACGGAAGACAGCCGTCGTTGCTTGATATCCTAACGGGAAGACTAGACCGTTGGTCGCCCAGCAGGACGCGGGGGGGGATTAGATCAGAAACAGGGAAGGTCGCGCGTGAAAAAAGATTTTTCGAAACCGAATAGAATGACGGACTTGTTTCATCACCGATTATCATCAGGTCCAAGTGTCCAAGTCATAGTAATGTTATAAATGATTAAATATTTCATTTTCTGCAAAATCATTGAATGCTTCTGAAGAACAAAATTTAAAATTAAGGAATTGTGAATTTTGCCTCTCTTACGAAATGTTTCTAAACTGACCTTAATTCATTCACTTCAGAATGCCGATGCATTATCATTATTCATTATCAGCTCGGTCTTTCATATCATCCTGGTGATACAGACACTGTGGGCATCAGATAAGTGATTTATTACATGAAATACTAACAGGAAATACTAAATATTAGGAGTGAATAGTAACTAATGACTGCGTATTAACTCAGATAAATTTCTTCTGAGAAAAGTATCAACGATTACTTGCCCAGATATTTGGTCCACATGTGATTAGTCAGCTTTAATGCAGCTTTCACTCGACATAGTCCGGATCTGTAAGTAGTAAAGACAGGGAAAAGTTACTGTCATTTAAAATAGTTTGAAAATCCCTACCCTGTATATTTGAAAACATTTTGAGGCATAAAGTTTCCTGAGAAAAATAATTGCTTACTTTAAAGATTCGTATTAAAAAGTGTCTAGAGAGAACATATAACACTTGCGATGCATGGATGCGAAACCGTAAAGCTGTATTGGGTGGAAACAGTGATCAAAAAAAATTTATTCGAAGCAGTATATGTTATTTTCCATCCATCGTTTAATTTGACTTATTTTCATCAGTGGCCGCATCTCAGACGTCATTTTTCGCGATGTCAC